GTTACCATGCAGGGTTAGAACAGCAGCTCGATCGAGGAGACGATCCAATTGATCAGCCATCCACTATCCTCAGGCATCCGATCAACTGGGATCGATGATCCAGAGTGGCACGAACTCTGCTTTCTCGGAAGATCGGCCTTGTCGATACCCGCGGCGAACTCCGACTTGTCCATGAAACGGCACCTCCCCAGCTGGTCCAGCTTGTCCTTCAGGCTCAGGGTGTTGAAATGGTTCCTCCGAGCATGGGCGGCACAGCGGAAAGTTGGCCTGCCGCGGGACTCCACAATGCCGGAACGTCGGCACTTAACGAACTACGAACCCGGCACCGTAGCGTACACAACGCTGCTGTGTACCCTCTTCGCCGACACTGATTGACATCTGCTGTTTGACGTCACCGAAGCCGTAACACTGTCACAGAATTTGGAGCACGCATATCTGTGTGATTAATATAGCCCTATGATGTGTGTGAGGAGTCGGCATTATGTAAATGCAACACTTGAACATGACCGTCTTAACCGAGACAACGTCTCCCCGGAAATGGCAAATCACTGCAGTGTGGCAGACGGACCCGAGCAACAACCGAACTTGATTGCCACTGGAGGGCACACGCAGAATTGAGTCAACGGTAATGGTGCCCGAGGTGCCCCCAGGCATTCCCACGGAGGCCCCCACAACCTCCAGAGCACCCCTCGCGAGGCCCAGAGTGCCCCAGGGGCTCCAAAATGGAGCGAAAAGCTGGGGGCACATTGGGCCAGGGACACCTCTATAGAAGAAGAAGAAGAAGAAGAAGAAGAAGAAGAAGAAGAAGAAAAATAATAAGAAAAAGAAACGCAATAAACATAAACTGTTGGCGCTCCGCGCGGATTTCTTGGATCCGCGCGGGGCGCCTCTCACTGGCGCGCGGAGGGCGCCAGGGGCGGTGCCAGAGGCGCCGCCCGTGGGTGCCCAGCGTGGATCGACATATGCGCGGAGCGCCAAAAAGTTTCTGCTTATGGAGTTTTGTTTCTTCTTCGGCTCTAGCACTCCCCGAACTAAGAAGCCTCTCGGGAACACCCCATCTCTGGAGGTCGGAAAAGGGGTGTGGAACAAAGGGGCATTGGGGACAATCGTGGAACTGGCAATGCTGTCTGCGATCGATAAACTCGCCAGATTCCCCTCTACATAAGATTAGCACCCCCCTCCCCTTTACGCCCTACCCCTCTCCGACCTCCAGAGCATCGACACCAAGAATGGATGCGACCCCGGGACGGGGGACGGGAGGCGGCTGCCCGACTCCGCCCCGCCTTGGCCCCTGGCGGCCGAGCACGCCCTCGACCCGGAGGCGGCCAGGGGCCGGGGCTGTTTGTGACCGCCTGCGACTACGAGAGCGCGCGTTTCACTTGCCCTGGGGACATTCGGCGGCGCGCTTCGAACCCGAAGGGGGGGAGGGGGGTCGAACCCCCCCCCCCACCCCCCCCCCTCCGTCCCGGGAGGAAGGGGGCGGGGGGGGGGTTCGAACCGCCTTCCCCCCCCCCTTCAATCCAGGGGGACGGGAGTCCGGTTCCGACCCCCCTCCCCCTCCAGGCGCCCACAGAACACGCTCTGTCCTACCTGCCAAGCCAACCCTAGCCCAACTCGAGGACCCGAATTTCGGGAGGGGAACTGGGGGGGTATGGGCTTCATGTGTTTTTGTTTAATGCCCCCTCCCCCACTGGAAACGGAGGGCACATCGGGGCCTTCGGGTTGGGTTGGGGTGGTGTGGTGGGTGGTGATCTTGGGGCCCCAAGAAACATCCCAGACGAGGCCACGACGAGGAAAAAAAGCCGGTGAGGATCAATCGAGAATCTCTGGGCCCTGGCGGCACTGGAGGATGTCTCGGGCGCCGCGGCCTTTTCAGAGCGTCCCGGAGCGTTCCGGGACGGCCTGGAACTCCTCACCCTCGCCACGTCCGAGAAAATCAATCAGGAGGTTGGGGTGAGGCCAACTTCTGTCAAAATCGGCCTCCGGACGTTTCCCTGGGCGCATGTATTCCCCCCCCGATCATTTAGAACATTTTTGCGGTACCGGGATGAACTTACCGCCTCCCTCCTCGACCCCCCGACTCCCCGACTCCCCGACTCCCCGACCCCACGACTCCCCGACCCCCCGACTCCTCGACTCCCCGCTCTCTGACTCCCCGACTGGCCAGTGGGCAGTCGGAAAGTTCATTGCGGCACCGCAGAAATTCCACCCCTCGGGCCAGATCAGCTTTTCACAGCCCCGGGGACCCGAAAACGGCCCCCTCCTCCTCCTCCTCCTCCACCTTCTCCTCCTTCTCCTCCTCCTCCTCCTCCTCCTCCTCCTCCTCCTCCTCCTCCTCCTCCTCCTCCTCCTCCTCCTCCTCCCCCTCCTCCGCCCCCTCCTCCCAAAGCGTCCTCCCGAAACCAGAGCCTCGAAACTGGCCGCCCCAAACCCCAAGACGGGCCCGAGCCTCGACTGGAGGAACCCAGCGGCACCGACGTCGCCACTCCCCACACCTCTCTTGGGGGTGCGCCTCTGACCAACACTTCGGGGCGACTCCAGCCGCAGCGACGAAGGCCTCCAGAGAGGCCCACGCCGGCGCATACGAGGGAAGCGTGGCGGTAGATGGTATGTTGTGGAGGCCCCCCGAATGGGATCTGAGCAAACGGGGTCGGAGCCCAACGAGGGCCCTCCCGGGGGGGCGGGGCCGAAGGGCTCAGTCGGGGCGGTCTGCGTAGCAGCCACGCAGATCCCTCCGACTGAGCCTTCCGCCGCCCCCCCCCCTGGGCGGAGCCTCTTGGGCTCCGCCGACTCAGAAGGGGAGAAGGTGCAGATGC